GAAGCTGAATGTGATTGGGCATCATATTTGAGGCTTTCGTTCTGGACTAAAGGTGATGGTTTTCACATGACGGATGGTAAAAGTTTCAGAACAGCATACATGTTTGTGTATGTTGCAGAGGACACTTAAGGGCATACATCGGATTTGACCATAAGGGATGTACGGCTCTATTACACTCCACTAAAACTACCATAAGGAAAATGTCTTTAGAACATTAGCGGTACTAGCGGTTGGACCGTGGAGTGATCTTGTGCCATATTAGAGCATATAGTGTTTTCACGATCAATCATTAGTGGTGCTTTTGTTTTAAGGAAAATATTTCGGAAACTATTCTAATTAGAATCATGACAACAAGTTGTTTTCTAAAATAAATGGGTGCGCTCCCGACTTTAAAAGTTTTTGAAAATTTAAATGTTTTTGAAAATTAAAATGAGGTATGTTGTGCCAAGTGGCCCGACTTTAAAAGTTTTTGAAAATTTAAATGTTTTTGAAAATTAAAATGAGGTATGTTGTGCCAAGTGGGAGATTGTTGGGTTCGATTAAAATGAGGTATGTTGTGCCAAGTGGGAGATTGTTGGGTTCGATTAATCCAACGAACCCATGTGGCCTAACCTACTTGATTTTGGATTGTATTTAAAGTTGTCATCGATTCAAGTTAGGATCAGGGTGCTAACCACATGGTCTGGTTAAACAGTTTCATGTTTATCAAGTTGGGTGGTTATCTTAAATATCTAAAGGATAGGATCGATCAGAGTGTAATCTCACGGTTGTGATTAAACCATGATGGGTAGGATTAATCACAAATATCTATATAAAGGGTGAGAGTCCCTCCTCTCAACCGTATGCAGAAAAGAGACCAAATTCCCATCGTTGGCTACGGGAGGAGAGAGGAGAAGACTTCTATTGTTTTCGACGGTGAAAGGTAATTTAGATTCATATTTCTAGTTCATTTTTCATGCCTAGATCGTTAAATTTTCCAATAGTCTAATCATATGTAAACTAAAATAACATGTTAGTAGTTCAAATAGAGAGAAAAAGAACTGGACTGTGTATTCTTGATTTCCCAATGAGAATATTCTAACTAGCTTTGCTTGTGTATTATCCTTCTCTCCTAACTAGCTA